ATATAAACTATTTTGATGATAGACCCAGATTGATCTTACTTATGACTCACAGTCACACTCCAACCCCAATTTTGAAAACATCAACACAAACAGAATGTTCTTTCGTTCTTCAGTGGTAGTGTTGAAATACCTTATTGTTCAGGTTTGTTGTTTTCATCTGTTCTGCATCTTCATTTCAGTCTAAAGTCCAACACAAATGTCCAAACACCACATTTGATTTAAGTTTAAAAAACCAACAACAGCCTATGTTCTTATTGCCAAATCAACCCATCCTTTCCTTTTTACTGTGTGTAAAATGGGTGTGAGAACAGTTTGTCATTGCGTAAATTAACCACATAGCAGACGGGTGTGGGCCAGATCTGGTGTCAAGTTGGCACTGCTAACTGACTGCTGGCAAGTGGTTTGTTAACTGGATGTGGGCCAGGTCTGGCAATGACGGCACTGTTTTATAACGGCATGCCACAGTTAGCCCATTTGTGGTTTGGTTTATGTGGTGCTGACCCATGCATGGATCACCTTTGGAAAACCATACCAGGGCCAACAAAGCTATTTGCAAGTAGAAATGGGGGTAAAAACAGCTAGCATAAGCTCTTCCATTGCAACCTGATGCACTTTCAACATACATATTATCATATTTTTGCAAAGGTAACAAAATTAACTGGTTTAAAAATGGGTTTACAGTATGAAATAGCATTTGCTGGAGTCGCTGAGAAAGTTTTAGCATTAAAATTGTTTTAAAGCATATGTATGGATAGACAGATAAAATGGTAAATGGACTGAACTTATAGAGCACTTTATCAAGTCCCTCCGGACCCCAAAGCGCTGTACACATGCAGACATTCACCCATGCACACTCACATCCACACACTGATGGTGGTAAGCTACATTGTAGCCACAGCTGCCCTGGGGCACACTGACAGAGGTGGGGCTGCCATGCACCGGTGCCACCAGACAGCTGGACGGGGGATCGAACCGGCAACCTTTCAGTTCCAGGACGACTCCCCTAACCATTCCATCACTAGTGATACAAATATCTATTATCTACACATAGAGTCAATTAAAGGCTCCGGGTGCATTCAAAAATATTAATAAACTCTTCAATTCTTATTTCTTAGTTCTGTGTCAAAGAAATGGCATGCTTTCCCATATTTTCCCATGATGCATGTCAATTATGCATGGAAATCCCATCAGAAAGTAGGAGAGAATTCAAGACACCACAACTTAACAGTGGTAAGTCCAGTGTTTATAAAAGGATGTGTTAAAACACTGTTTTTATGCAGGAAATTCCACATAGAGCTCAGCAGTGCTCAGCCATAGCAATGAGATGAGGAATGTGATGTTTCCTGTTTAGTCAAAGTTAAACATGAAATGTTGAAGTTAATTACAACTGACCTTTTGAGGGCCATCATAATGCTCATGCAGGGGTGGAGCCAGGGGGTGGCCAGGGGTGGCCATGGCCACTACAGACAATTCTTTGGCCACCCCACTGGCCACCCTGCTGTACACACCCCTTCCACAGTGAAACAACCTTTAGGGCTGTAATGATCCTCTTGAACAGTTGGTAGCAGTGTTTAACAGTTTGAAACATCAACGAGCTCTATCACTGAAGAAGAGTAATAACAAGGAAGTGATCATTTTCTTTATTCACAGAAATCTGCTTATGTAATCTAACTGATGGTGTCAACTTTTGGACTTATGGTGACAAGTGTTTTTTTTTTTTTTGTCATTTTATGTTATGAAGGCTACATGAAGCTCTGTCCCTTTTGGTTATGAGTGGACCTATCACTAAATCAGAAAACGTGAAGTGCCCCTTTAAATTCGCTGTTGGTGGTTATCAGTATTGCACCTGTTCATTGGGTAAAATTATTATTAGTTTTAAACATGCAATTAGGGGTCATCATTATTTGGCACAATGACATGTGTTACAATTAAAAATAAACCAATAAAGAATATAAAAGTAAAAGGCACCCCTAAAGTCATGGAGATGATAAATTGAACCACTTTAATTAACCTTATCTCAGCCATAGCAGTGACTTTAAAAACAGGTTGATGGAACAAGTTTAATGAATAATCTGTCTCTGAAATAATTATTAAATCAAGTATTTATTTATGTAGGTAAAATTATGTTTAACAACCTGTTAAAATACACCAGAATGCAGGAAATGGCATCTATTTTCTTAAAAATGTTCTCGGGGAGGACCCCCAGACCCCCCAACATGGTTCTGATGCCCATTTTGTAAGGTACTCACTGCTTGTATAAGGAAATAAGGAAATAACCAAAAAAAAACAATACTGCAGAAACTTTCAAGTTAAAAATTATGTAATTTTCCTGGCCACCCCTGTGTGAGTGGTGGTCACCGTCTGGCCACCCCTGAGAAAAAAATCTGGCTCCGCCACTGCGCTCATGTGGCCCTTGGTGTAAATGAATTTGACAACACTGCTTTCAAATAAAATGTAGTTATTCCTGTCACGTGACTCATTTATATTCTGTAAAAAACAATGAATGAAAGTTATTGACCTCAGTGGTGAGCTGTCCCAACCGTGTAGTGACAGAAAGGCTTTGTTTGAGCAGCAGGCTGTAGAAGATGTTGCTGCTGAATGCCTCCAGATCCACCTGGTGTTCATAGTCCCAGAACTCATCCGAACTGTCGACACAGGCTAGTTTTCAGAGAGTCACACAAAAAGACACAAAGAATAGAATACAAACATGCATTTTAAACTCTATATTTCATCTCCCAAATCAACATGTCACTCACTTCTCTGTTATGGAATATCCTAATTACTTTGAATTAATCAGTGCTATGGCTGCTGAATGCACATAAACAACAACCCCATGAAGCTGCCCTTTGATGCAACAGTTGGACTGTTGTGTGTGTGTGTGTGTGTGTGTGTGTGTGTGTGTGTGTGTGTGTGTGTGTGTGTGTGTG